ACAGCTCAGTGTGAAATTATCATGTGATATTTGCATAGAGGCCAGCTCAATAGGGGCTCAGCAGACATTCAGTTTCTTCAGGCAAGGCACAGTAGGTTTTGTGGATACAAGAATGTGCATACAATTCCTGCTTTCAACCTCCTCCTTGCTACCCACTCATTTCTTCATTTCCTATTCTGAGCTGGATGGAATCATGGGGACTTTGATAATTGCAGATATAAGTAGCCAGCTCATATGTTCCACACTATCAGGAAGTTCTCATTTATCTGGCTGGATATCTGTTTGAAATAGTTTTAACCTACCTTTTGTCCTAGAACAAGGGTTGACAATGCAGACCTTCAAAGACATTTCCTAAACTTCTAACATCTTATTCCTGTCTCCATGGAATAAAATAATATAGTAGTTTTAAAACTGCTGGTGTTTCTTAAGTCAGATCTCATGCTGTAGCTATGATCTCACATGATCTTGTGCAAGAACAAGATTGCACAAAATCTACCAGAATTTTAGAGATTTTTGCTAACATCCAACAAAGCGAAGGACAACTTATTTCAGACCTTTCAATTCAATCAAAGAAAGTTAGGAACTGCCAGACCATGTAGATGACAAGATTTATGCGTGACATATCCATATCTTTGCTGCACTTCTAGCCTGCACAGTACTCCAATGAATGCAACTGTAGGAGGTAGACCAGATCAGGAAACTGACTCCATATGAAGGTAGAACTCTACTTTATTGAGAAAGGCTATAACAACAGAAACTTGCAAGTTTGCCTGTGTTTTCCCTTTCCCACTCATATACCCCAAGGAGTAGGGGTGGGGGGAGTCAATCTACATCTCTTTCTCATAGTTTCCCACATGCCTGGGCTTAGTACATGCTTCTTCTGCACCTATTGTCCTAATGACTTCTGCCTGCTTTTTCCAAGGTCATCTTCATGACTCCCTACAAACATGGTTCCCTACCAACATTCCTTACAGTGGAATAGAGTTCAAGTAAGAAAAGGAGGGCTTATGTGACCTTTGTTCAACATACCCCATGGAGGTATGTTGAACAAAGGAGGAACTAGACATACACACATTGGTATATACTGTACATAACATCCCTTCACACAGTCATGAATTGGTCTTCTGTTCTGTTTGCATGTGACTTGAAAATAGAAAGTGCTACTTTGCTCCCTTGGATGTGTTTAAAAAGTTGAAAGTAAGGATATTTATACCACCTCCTCACCATGAGCAATGATTGGAGTTTTCTAACCTTTCCCCCAATTTAATTCAGTAAAATATTGAAAGGTATGGAAGAAGAAGAAATACAATTAAGGGAAAAATTGATTTATGTTTTTGAGTTCATTGAACAAATATTTCTATGTGTACGAAGTGGAGCGTATCATTTCAGCATAATAATACGAGTTAGAGGCAATGTACAATCACATTATCAAATTGCATAGCTATTCTGCTAAATTGCATCCTTAAAAGCAGTAGCACATTTTTAGGAGAACAAAGAAAAATGAAACTGAACTGGACCTCTGCATGTCCAGTTGAGATAAGCAGATATTTTTATGCCTGATAAACAAGCAGGAAAAATGGAGGTGGAAAGGATTCAAGCCCTGTTCTGTCCATAAATCTAGTATCAAACATCTACAGTTTTTGGTTTTCTAGCATCTGCTTGGACACATCCAGGGAAGATGATGCTCCCCAAATCCTAGGGATTGGATTCTGGTGTAAAACTGTTTTATCGTCAGGATGGCTTTCCCAACGTTCAATAGGAATCTGTCTTCCTGAAATTTAAGACCAATTCTATCATGTCTGGGCTGGCAGAAACTAGTCATGGTCTTGTTCAGCTCCCATAAGTTCTAGGGAGATCTCCAGGTTCACAGTGACCACAGGCTGAGAAAGTTGAATCCAACACATTAGAAGACCACAAGGTTATATATATCACAGAACTGGAAGGAGAAATAGGCTATTGAGTCCAACCTACGGCTCAATACAAATTAAAGCATCCCAAACAGATGGCTATACAGCCATTATCTGAACATACAGTATTGGGTAATTGGTTCCACTTTCAAATTGCTCTTACTGCTAGGTAGATTTTAGATCCTGTAATTTAGATTTGTTATTTTATTTTTTTACTTCTGGGATAATAGATTACTTGTCTTGATTTTCTTCTCTGTGACATGTTTTCAGGTATTTGAAGAATGCTATCTCCCCTCCCATCCACTCACTAATACCAAAATGAGCCATCTAAATAGCGGGGAGTGCTGTCAAAATAGACATTCTACACCCTCCCTTAAAATCTCTAGAAAGATATTGCAAATCACTCCATCATCTGTATCGCCAAATTGCCATGAAAATATTTAGTTCTGTGATTGTTGTTGCTTTCTGTAGATATAGTTGCATACAGAGGTTTGAGCAGCCCTGGTCAAACTGTATGCTTCAATGAATCCCTAAGTGAACAGAAGCTGACATTGTCTCTCTACACAGTCAGAGTTAAACAGAACATTTTTCTGCAAATTTGAATGCATACTTACTATATATGTGCAGTCGCTTACAGATTCAAAATAAGAAAATAGTGAATATAGCAGGTGCAGAGATTTGGACATCGTTCCAGTTAATTCAGTACTTTTTAAAAACTCTAAAGTCGTTAATAAGGCCCCCAAAGACTTAATAAGCCTACAATTAGCCAGGTGACAACAACTCCACAGGTGAAGAAATACTCTGATTCTTCTGATCGTTCAGAATCCGAATATTGTTCTGTCTACTTTCAGCAAACATAGGCTTTTCTAAGCAGCTGTCTCAGCATCTGAAAATGAATATAGTTCACTCTTACAACATGGGAAAGCTATTAAAAATATCTCTAAATGCTTCCAGCCAGCAACTTTAAGAAACACTGTTAGGAAATGGAAGTTAATGAAACTGTTGAAATCAAGACAAGATCTGGAATACCAAGAAAAATCTCTGCTACAGCTGCCCCCCAAACTGATCAGATTTGCAAAGCAGGGTCCCTAGACCACTGCAAAGGATCTGCTGAAAAGTTTAGCTGACACTGAAGCACTTATTGACAGGTCCACAGCACAGCATTTTCCCCACAACTATGATTTACATGAGAGAATTGTCAAAAAGAGACATTTTCTCCAAGCTCATCGCAAAAGATATTGTCTAAAGTAGTGTTTCTCAACCTTGGCAACTTTAAGATGTGTGGACTTCAACTCCCAGAATTCCTAGTCAGCACAACCAACTCCCCAAATTTAGTGTTTCTCAACCTTGGCAACTTTAAGATGTGTGGACTTCAACTCCCAGAATTCCTAGTCAGCACAACCAACTCCCCAAATTTAGTGTTTCTCAACCTTGGCAACTTTAAGATGTGTGGACTTCAACTCCCAGAATTCCCCAGCCAGCCATGGGGTTCTATGGCACAGGAGATTCTGTGCAAGGGTAAGGAAGAAGGGATTCAACTCAATATCAATCTATCCTAGAAGCTAATGTCCCACAGTCACTGAACGAAAATAAAAATGGGAAAATGGTTGGATATTGCAGCAAGACAATGGTCTGAAACATACCTTAAAATCAAACTTGAGGTAATTACAGAAAAGACAGAAAAGGGCTTTCAATGGCCTTCACAGTTCCCTGACTTGAATGTTCTTGAAATCTGTGAAGAGATATCAAACATGATGTGCATTCAAGGAGACCGACGAATATTTCTGACCTAGACAAGTTCTGCAAGGACAAACGGGAAAGCATTTCAAAACCAAGACTAGAAAGACTCTAAGTCGGCTACAGGAAACCTTTGGAAGCTGTTACTTCTGTGAAAGGGGTGTGATCAAGTATTGACTGAAAGGATGTCTAAACTTCTGTATTCACTGTTTTCTTATTCTGAATCTGTGCAAAACGGCACACGCAGGATAAGTATGCATTCAGATTTGCAGAAAGAGGTCAGGTTTAACTTTGTACCATGTCAAGGTTGTGTCAGCTTCTGTTCACTTAGGGATTCATGGAAACACACCATTAAACCAAGACTTCTGCATGCAGCTACGTGCTTGGGATTGAGATGCATGAGGAGAAAATCTTCAGGAAGCAAAATGTAGCCATCTTCAAGAGAGTAATTCATACCACAAAAGTGACAAACGATATGTTTGGACACCTTGGTCTTCCCGAAGAAAGCCCTTTGGCTGACCAAGTATAATGAACATAAATTGCCCAGATAATATCTCCTATTTGCAGAAGACTCTCTACAAACTATCCAAAGAATAATAAAAAAATATTTGTTTTAAATATTTGGGTTTTTTTTTTTTTCTTCCCAGCCATATGTGTGAGGAAGGATACGCGTTTTTTAAGCTTGGTTTCTGTTTTGTTTTCTGTTTGCTCAAGGGCAAAGCACGCTCAGCTCCCTTGCATTGGAGAGATCCTGCTTCATGAGTTATTCATGAGTTATTCATGAGTTATTATTTGCTCAGTTCCAGGGTCCACGAACAGCGTGGAAATTGTATTGTCGAAGGCTTTCACGGCCGGCATACGATGGCTGGTGTGGGTCTTCCGGCGCTGTGGGCCGGGGTCTGGAAATTTCTGACCCCCCACGCCCCGGGAACCACACCACCTCTGAGATCTGTATGAGTATGAGAAAAATG